TCGTATACCAGTGATAGAGTCAGCAACAAAAGACAATTACTTCATTGCTTTCCACATCATTTTGGTATCCGAAAACGATACATTCTGCTCGTCACAACTCTGATCTAACAGACAATTACTACACTTGAATTGAACATTTGCATTATCTGTGATAAACTTTGCCTGAGTCCGCGTGAGTGTAGTGCACTTGCAATGAAATACACGAGCACACTCACCCACACAGACAAAGGGGGGAGGGGGGGTTGAAAATGGGCCAAATTTGCGTGACATAATTAATGGACCATCCCTAACCGGCAAATCAGTTACCAAAATCCCCAAATTACATATTGCACACTCAGCCATATATATCACCTAGACACATAAACTTTACATGCAACACTACAGAAACACAAGTAAAAACGAACGAAAGCAGAAATTTACAATTCCGTAGCTTACTAAATAGCTTGCCGGGCGAAAGAAAAAAACAAAAATTGAACGAGAACCAGCGACAGCAGCAACCGTTCTCCTACTTTTCCAATAAATTATCACTACGGGGCACGCGTAGGATCAATTCTACCGCAGCACAAGCACAATTTCACACTTAATTAATTGAATATTTATCACAGCACTGCGAATCACCCCTTTAAACTTGTTACATATTAAATCTTTCGATGTTCCGTTTATAAACCAATTTAAGATTTATCGGTCCGAAATTGCACTGATGCGTTGCCACGGTGCTTATTATTTACTAAAGAAAACACTGGCCAAAATACTGTCGCATAAGTTGGGCTTAATTTAAATATATACTGAAGATAGTATACGTTTTATACTATGCTAAGTGTAAACCTCGTGAATGACAAAAATGATTAAATTGTAAACTATCAACAAATACTAATATATCAGAGTGTGGATGCTGAAAAGTTGTGCTTTTCGACATTGTTATTTTAGCTAGGAAAAAGTAGGTCATTATGTTATTCAAAAGAGTGTCGAAAAGCAGTACTTTTCTGTACTGAGTGTCTGGAAATTTAAAAATAATAATTATTGTAGATTACACAACTGCATAAGGCTGAACTATCCAATACTAAAATCTCACTTGATCCGGTGTACTTTTTTTTTTATTGGTTGTCAAGCTGGAGCTGCGTGACAGCTTAATTTTCAAGACTTGACCCATTTGAATAAATTTTGCTTCTATCTTTGACAATACATCAGAAGGACTAGCCTATGTTGGCCGCTTGAACACTGGATTCCGTATGTATTGTTTCAAGATAGTTATAGAAAAAATGCTGTGACGTGTGCGCGTAGATACATCCGCGTAGTAAACCGATTGAATAAGTTAATCCGTTTCGAACGAAATATCTGAATTAGGGGAATTTACGTATTCTCGTCAATCTAAGCAGCGTCCGCACTTCTATTAGCATTTTCACAGCGTCACGTACATATATGACGTGTCTGTTTGATTCAATTTATCTGCTGCTTGCTTCGCTATCCATTCCAATCGACAGAATTCTTCAAAACTGTTTGAAAGCGTTTTTACAACGCTCTAAACTTCTCAGGTGAGTGTGACTATTGTCGGCAGCCTCTTTTTCTTCGGCAACCTTCCCATTAGAACTGCGTGTTAACCAGCTGTTCTATTATCGGCAACTCGAAATCAGCCCCATTTTGTATAACGTATGCTTCATTTGAAGAAAAATCTGGCATAAAAGGATTGCTCGGTCCTTCAAATATAATCAGATTGAAGCTGAAAGACTAAAGAATCATTTGGATACATTCAGGGAAGTGTGTTGATGGTAAAACATAGTGAAATTAACGTTTAAATTTTGATTGCCGAAAACAGTCAATGGGTGCCGAAGCCGACATTTACCCTATGTAAGTTACGAAAACCGCGCGAATTCCGAAAGCCGTTCGAGACAACCGAAGCGAGAAAAAGGCTTGTTATCATTTAAAGAGTGCCACCAAAATAAATGTGATAGCCTATGTTGGCAAGTTGATTAATTTTGGTTTCCTCACTAGATATTCTACTTATTAACTACTGAGCTTTGTATCAAATTAGTTAATTTAAAGAACGTATCAATCATTTCAAGATTTCGCGACCGTACCGAACAAATTATGTACTACAGAAGCTCAAAAAAAAAAACTTTTGGTGAGCTCTACCGCATTGCGAATCACTTCTGCGTAAGTTCCGTAGGCGTAGGCGCGTTGATTCCGACAGTCGGCAAAGGTTCAACCTGTACCAACACCGCTTAAGGAACGACCTCGAGTCAGTAAAACCATTTAGAGCTAAACATCTAAATTACGTAAGATACGAAAATCGCGCAAATTGTGAACGCCACGCGAAACAACCGTAGAGAAAAAACAGCTAATTATCACTTAAAGAGTGCCACCAAAATAAATGTGATAGCCTATGTTGGCAAGTTGATTAATTTTGGTTTCCTCCCTAAATATTCTACTTATTTTACTGTTGAGATTTGTTTCAATTTAGTTATTTTACCGCACGTATCAATCATTTCAAGATTTCGCGACCGTACCGAACAAATTATGTACTACAGAAGCTCAAAAAAAAAACTTTTGGTGAGCTCTACCGCATTGCGAATCACTTCTGCGTAAGTTCCGTAGGCGTAGGCGCGTTGATTCCGACAGCCGCGAAAATTTAAACATGCATCAATACCACATAAGGAAAGATCGATTTTACGTACACTCAAAAAATAAATCACATTTCCAATGGAAAATATCCATTAGAATTTCACATAACTTACATGTGATCTCATAATTGGGAATCGCACTACAAAATCTAATGAACCTTATGTGTCCAATGAAATTTATGTGATTTATCACATAGAATTCATGTGATCATATGAATGTTATGTGAATTTCAGATAAGAATCATTAATTATGTTATTGGAAAAATATCATGTGCGTTCCCAATGGAAACTATACGAAAACTTTTTTCATAGATTAATATTGACTGCTGTTTAAAAATGTAAGTACTTGAACACTAAGAAATAAGTTAACTCAAATGCTTTAACCGCATATATAAGAGATTTCGCGTATTGAGAGAATAATATAGTAATCGAGTACAACAAACTCAGGGGAATACAATACCTCCAAAAGTTTATAAGCTATTAATTTTCCTCTCCTTGTTAATCTGCTTAATGCTATTGGTCTGCCTGCTTTTTCTTTTTAAAGTTCAAGACTTAATAAGAAGATTTATTCTACAACTATACAATACAATACTATACAACTACAACTACGGACCCCCCGCATCCTAATTCTTTTGTTAATCTACTTAATGTCATAAGACTTTCTGAAGTTTCTTATTTAGGTTCATTTGATGATTATGATATCTCATTAGTCTAATTTAATAAATTATTAACAGCTCTAATTCACCTAATCAATCATAACCCATGCTTTATTACGTACCTGCACTTGTGCTTGTAATCTAAAATTAAACGTGTTTAAAGTACTTTTGATTTAAGCCTATACATATTTATTATATCTTAGTTCGACCCAGGTGACACCTTCATGTGACTAAAATGCTTCATTTTGAAGTTACCCGTAAAAAAAAGAACCATAGAGGCACAATGAAATGTATTGTAACCATACAATAGAATTAATTTTATTTACTATAAATCATAATGTCTACAACGATAAAATAACCACAGCATGTATTGTTTTCACAATAGAATCTATGGTAAATGGAAAAAATCAACAATAGAACAAGGGGGTTGTTATGTATCTTAACCACAGGAAAAATCACTTTTTCCCGAACAAAGATGAGCCATTTACCATTAATTGTATTGTTGTTCAATTGTTAAAAATTCTTTTTATATGGGACGTATTGTAAATCTATTGTAACAACAATATGTTAAAATTTCTTGTGCAATAGACGTACAATAAGATCTATTGTTGGCAATAGATTTTGATGCAATTGTATTTTATGTTATGGTAATTGTATGGTCATTTTTTCCGGGTAGTTTCCAAGCTGATTTTCAAATTATATAGGGTATATGCTCCAACTATGCTCACACGCTTCCACTATGTCGCACCACAAAAATACGTATGGGTATGTCACAATAGAAGCACGCCACAGTGGAAATCCTGAGCCATAGTTCAAACACTTATCCCAAATCAAAATGAAGCACATATAAGATTAGTTACAATACCATGTACAAAAAATGATGTTTAACATTGTTCCTGAGTAATACTTCAATGAAAACAACAATGAAAGCTTGTCATGCAAATAGAAGGAGCACCATTGGGCACTTCTGAAATATTTCAATAGTATAATTCCTTTGCAAACCCAAATAAATCTATCTGCGTAAACATAAATAAAATAAGAGTGATTTGCGGCAAAACCCGCCAGTATCACACCCAACGTCAGTGCCTATACGTAAGCGTACTACGACGCGGCCCTCAATTAATGGAATAACAAGTGTGATACTATCACTGCTAGACTAGATCTTTGGTTCTCTCATGCAGTGGTTTATCAGAGAGGGGAAGCTTAGTAATCCCCATTGCCCGCCCATGACGCCATTCTATCGCGGCATGAGCCAGCAACGCCGACCATAAACCTACCGTCTCCAACACTCCACTATAAAGAATGAAATTAAGCCTTCCCACCAACAGCAAGGTGCAAAAACTAGCCAAGGGGAGGATCTCACTTGATCCGGTGTACTTAAAACTAAATTTAAAGAATATAAAAATTACAACAAATAATATGGAGCACGATAAGTTTTTCTGTGGCAGTAAAGCTTGACTAGGGTGAGTTTACTAGTTATAGTCATACGTCCCTATTATGGAATTCTCATAGGCAATAATTGGAACACACCATAATAGGAATGTATAACCATAACTGGTACATCTACCCTAGGCATGTTACCAAAATTTGCTTCATTCATCAAATTTTCACAATCAACCTCCAATCGTTTTTCCATTGTGACATTCAGCGTCTGCGCAATAATTTTCCAATATCAATAAAAAGGAAAACTTCCTACACAAAACGTCACAGTTCATTTCGAGTATTCGGGAACGCAAGTGTTACATTTGGAAATAAGCTTAATTTATTTAAATCAGCCTAGAGTGAAAAGTTTATTTTTTCTACTGAAAAAGTTCGACGCAATCGATGATTCATGAGTGACTCTAATATGTTAGCATTTAAGAGATTAGTTTCGTGTAATTCATCTGGATGAAGCTGGTTTTGCATTTTTTTTTTTAGAATCCATTCCATCTGTGTTCTACCACTAGAAAATTAAGTTAGTTTGACGAACGCTATATAGTAAATCAAATACTGCCTGAATAGAAGACCTTAAAAGTGAAAAATAACTTCACAATGTCAAAAGCGCATTGGTTTACAATTTGCAACATCCTGTTTGCGTCACTACCGCTTGCAGTTCTTGGAATCGATCTAAGTCGTCTCTATGGACATTTGCCTCCGGTATCGAAAAGGAGTGGTAAGTTGATTTTCTTTTTATGTATGTTGGCAGGCTAGTTTTATATACCATTCAACATAAACATGATATTTCCTGATATGTTACATTATTTTTATATCATTAGAATCAAAAATGACTTAAGTTGCTCCTGCTCATATCAAATGTATTTTATATAAATATAAATGAACAATTACCTACGCTCCAAATTATGATTCTAGTACCAGAGAATGATTTTTTTTGCAAGTAATTCAACGGAATTTAAACAAAAGTAACAGGTAGCAGTTTTCACATAGTTTAGCATAACTTTACCGAAGGAACATTCTGACGCCGAAAAAAATGTTTGAAAATGGGGAGAATACAGACGCTGGAGATCTGTTGAATGATTGTCACTCTTTCATATTTCGGCGACGCGTCCCTAGCAAGTTCGTAAGGATGGTGTTGTTTACCAGGAAAATCTCTCTTTTTATTGAGCATCTCATTCAAAAATTCATTTTCGTCCTTCATCAAGCTGGATCTATAATAGCGGAAGGTGATCTATAATAGCGGTCCAATGAAGTTATATCAAATAACAAAACTATTCTTCAATAAAAATCTAACCCCTACTTTTGGTGTACGTTTATTATAATACTCACCAGCTCAAGAACATCGCCCTCTCATCATGTTCATGTCGTATACCAAATACACACTTAAATTTTTTCGCCGAGATTCCAACAGCCGAGTAGTTCTGCAATTTATATTGCTGAGACTCAGTAAAACAATTGCCGAGACTCAGCTATCAAATAACATTTTGCTGAAATCTCAGCTAACAAACAGATATTTTGCGTAGATATCAGCAAAAGTAAATGCCGAGGATATCGGCTTTTGGAGATTTTACCGAGCTAGATTAAGTGTGTACATGGAGTGTGGCGTGGTTACAAGCTACTCAGCACCCCTTAAAGGATTTTATTATATTCGAACGAGCTCTTATTAAAAACCTATCACATGATAATGAATGGTGTTGACAGCACGTTCCAGTCGCCGTCACGCAACAATTGACAGTTTTGTATGGTATTTTTAATGGAAAGAAGAGATAAGACCAAGTCCACCATGTTTCACCCACAGACTAACAGATGCTTAAGAGATTTTACCATTATAGGAGTAAAGAGTTACAGATTCCATCGCATTACTCTATCTTAGTCTTAGGACAAAACGATCGTTTCGGACAATAAATCTATGATGCCGCCGTTTTCCCTATCTAAGACTACCGTTAGTTCTGCATCATTTGTGGCCAGCGTTGCCACATTTTTTTCTAATTTCAATCTATATTTTCGTCATAAAAAATCTGTAAAAAAACTGTATAATTTCTTTATTATGGTCTTACCACGGACCTACGTAAACCTCGCTTGAGTTCATTCAAAGTTTGGAAAGAGTTTGTTCAAAGTTTAGAATCATGAAAAGTGAAGTTTGCTTTCTAAAGAATGTCTCTATTTAAAAGATCTAGAAATCCCAGAATCTTGATTATCAAAGTGATTTGTATCTTTTCTACAAGTCTAAAAAAGTCCCAGTAGCGAGAGACTATCATAGAATTTGATTTTTTGTGACCCAATTTTAATGTTTGTTCATTCATTTTCTCAAGCACTTATAATCAAAACAGATTGAAATTTGATTTAAGCATTTGGAAATCGAATCAGCTTGTCAGTAAATACTTGTAAAACCCTTTGGGATCCTTAATAAAAATAACCATAAAAGAGAGCTTAACGACGTGTTCGGGGTATCATTCAAACCATTTGTGGGATAGCTTACCCATCCGGGATACAGTTCGTTTATGGTATTTGTTTATTAGGGATAGTTCCATCTGTTCTGTATTTCTTTGTTACCTATACGTCACATTTCGACCGAGCTTAGTCTTCCTATGTTAATGATTTCGTGTGTTTCCAGGCCTATGTTGTAAAACCAGGGCTTAAGTGTAGGGATTGGATAAATTTTAAAGTGGCGTAGATCCTTCCCTAATAAAAATGTTATAGTTAATTTGCTTAACGACGTGTTCGGGGTATCATCCAAACCATTTGTGGAATTGTTCAATCATTTGGGTTACCGTTCGTTTATGGTTATTTTTTATTAGGGTTGTCTTTAGACAACTCTGTGTATAGAGAAATCCATTCATTTAGTGATTCTCCTTTAGCTAAGTTAAATGCGTCTGTTAGTGGTATTTTGAAATAAACCGCATTTGTGCTAGTACAGCCTTTTTTCGAAAGTTGATCAGCTTTTTCATTTCCGATTATGCCCTTGTGTCCTGGAACCCATTGGAGGGATATTTGTTTCGTAGAGTTTTTTAGTTGGTTTAAAATTTCTGTAATTAGATAATTATTTTTAATTTTCTTTGATTTTAACGATATAAGACCTGATTTTGAATCGGAACATATTACAAATAAGGTCTCTGGTTGAACATTAAATATATCAATCGCTAGTTTATTGCTGTAAGTTCCACGTTCATTATTAAGAGTTCACTGTTTACTTTGCAACTAATTGATTCTTTGTTTTCTAGCCATATACCTATACCGCATCATTTATTTGAAGTTTTCGAGCCATCTGTATAAATTTTTATATGGTTCTCATATGTATTTTGAATGAAATGATTTGTTATAGATCTAATAGTATATTCATTCATATTTTGCTTTTTTAAATTTGGGATTTCTGTTACTATGGGTAGTTTTTCTATTTCTTCTATACATCTTTTTATTTCGTTTGATATAATTGAGCTCCTTGTTTGTATGACTAAATAATTATTCTCAAATGTTATTTTTTCCAAAAAGGTGTATTTTTTAGGTAGATTGTCCATTTCTGTGAATTTACTTAGGTTATTAATTATAGGTTTAAAATGCGCGAAAATTTTAATTATTTCTTTTTTAGCTAACCAACTTGCTTTTTCCTTGATTGGCATTTCTCCTGCTTCTGCATATAGAACATTAATGGGTGTGGATTTAACTAGCCTTAGACTTGTTCTAATCCCTGCATTGTATGTAGAATTGAGCTTTTGTAGATTGGTTTTGGCAACACCACCGTAAATTGTTAATCCATAATCTATTTGAGAGCGTATAACTACTTTATTGATTTTCAAAGCCGTTTGAGAGTGTACACCGTTCTTTTTTTTACATATTATTTTGATTACATTTAATTTTTGTTTTGCTTTATTATTTATGGGAATTTACGTATTCTCGGCAACCTAAGCAGTGACGTTCTTTCTATAGCCTTTTTCTTTAAGGAACGCACACATATGCAGTATTGGTTTGTTTACAATCTTTTGCTGCCAGCTGCTCTAACAATTTCAGTCGAAAGAATGGTCAAAAACTGTTTTGAAACGCTTTTACAAAGCTCCAATCTTCTCTAGTGAGAGCGAGTATTGTCGGCAACCAGTTTTTCTTCGGCAACCGTTCCATTTGAACTGCATGTAAATCTACTGTTCTATTATCGGCAACTCGAAATCTGCTACAATTTGTAGTGCGTGTGTTGCATTTCAAGAAAACCTTGCTAGATTGCTTTTTCTCAGTGGTAAAAATATAGTAAAATTGAAGCTGGAAGCATAAAGAATCGTTTGCATGCATTCAGCGAAGTGTTTTCGTAAGAAAATCCAGTGAAAATAGTGTTTCAATTTGCGTTGCCGAAAATAGTCTGTCATGCCGAAGCCGTCATTTCCCCTATGTAATTTAAATGCATTTTATGGGATAATTTTTGATTTATTACGTAGCCTAAATATTTATGTTGATTTATTTGTGTAATGTTATCATCACCTATTTTCACATTTATTATATCATCTTGTCTATAAGTGAACAGAATTATTGCTGATTTTTTGGCGTTTATTTCGATCTTCAGGTCTTCTAATTTTCCTTTAATTCTTCCCAGTGCTACCTTAGCTGTTAATTGCACCTCTTCTATAGTCTCACCGATTATTATTATTGCAAAATCATCTGCAAATTGTTCTAGTATAACTTTTTCTGTATTAATTTCGTGTAACAAACTGGTATATAAATTAAAAAGCAACGGAGATAGAGGGCAACCTTGTGGCAGCCCTGTATTCGTTGGTTATGTTATTTTTTCCTAAACTGTTTCCAAATCAACATTTCTTTCAGAGAGATATGTTTTAAGCCATTTTAGAATTTTATTTGGTACAGCGAAATCATCAAGTTGCTTAAGTAATATTATTATGTTGACGTTATGATACTACAATTTTATTGCGTTGTGCTTCAACTATTGTTGAAACCAAGTAGTTAATACAGTCTATTGTTGATAAATCTTCTTTGAAACCAAATGATAGTGGAGGAATTAAATTGTTCTCTAGGCTGAAAGTGGTCAAACGTTTTTAGACTTCGCAATTAATAATTTTAAGGTTAATATCAATAAGTGCAATGGGTCGATATGATTTTGAGTTTGATTTATCTATAGATGGCTTTAATATAGGAACTATTTTAATGTTTAACCATTGTTCTGGTATGTTTCCTTTTTCCCAATTTTCATTAGTTAATTCTAGTATTTTCACAAGCAGTTCAGTTTTAATTCTTTCAAGGAAAATATACGACAGTCTATATTGGACAGCTGCAGAAGTGTCTTTTCTGTTATTAATTGTTTTAATCATCTGCGTTTTGCTGAGTTCCTTACAAAATCTTTTTTCGTCTGCTGTACTATTTTTAAATTCTATTTCCTCGTTAATTTCTTTTTTAAAGTTCAATTTCAAAAAATCTTTTGCTAGTTCGTTATTTGAAATTATTTCAGAATTATTTTCATTTTTAAAATTACCAGATATGCATTTAACTATTTCCCCCATTCTGTTAACATTAGTGTCCTAGTTAATTTCATCTAGCATGTCTTGTCTGTATTTGTTAACTTCTTTTTTCAATTCTGTTATGAACTCTCTCTCTGCCTTTTAGAATTTCTGTTTGTTCTCTAATGTTAAATTTTTCCTGAATTTTATGTGTTTTTTATTTTTCTCTTCGTATAATTTTTTTTTGATATTTTCTGTCCAGTATGGATTGATCTTTTCTTGCTAT